CAAGGGAAGAGAGAATGGCAGGAGCCAAACCACATGGGCCAGCAGAGGGAGTTCATGTGCATGTTACAAAGACCTCCCTGGCTTTTGGGTAGGGAAGGCTGAGGTGGGATGGGATGTAGTGGCAAGACTGCTAGAAGGGCAAGGTGAGGACTTGACCTGGAGTGGGGAGCCATATTGGACTACATGTAGAAAGGTGAGCCAAAGATATTGCTGAAGTTTCCAGCTTAGGTCAGACTGCGTAACCAGCATTAGAGCAGATTAGGCACTTAATATGACTTTCCCACTGACAGCGCTAGAATTGTGGCTTCAGCCTGTACCTCTAAAATACATCCCTAGGTAGGAGGAAAGCAAGGAACACACAGGCTCCAAAACTAAAGTGAAGCCAGGACCTCTGGTAGGTGAGTGGGCAGCAAAGTTTTGCCCCCGAGGGGTTTGCTGACTCAAGCCATCTGGAGCTTTCCACGGGCAGCTGCACTAGTCTATGGCTGGCCCAAGAGGGCAATCTAGCAGGAATCTTCTGCATAAAGTTGGGGCTCAAAAGGCCACACTCTCAGAATGGGGGTGACTAAGGAATAAACCTGTCATGAGGAAGGGGACTTGCTTACTCTTATGGTTTAGATATGAGGTGTACCTCCAAACTCCTGTGAGGCAATGCAAGAGAGTTTGGAGGTGAAATGATTGGGCTATGAGAGGCTTAATCTAATCAGTGCATTAATCCACTTGAACATATTAACAGGATAGTAACCGTATGCAGGTAGGGTGTGGCTGGAGAAGGTAGGTCACTAGGGCTGTGCCTTTGGGGTGTATGCTTTGTCCCTGGTAAGCAGAGCTTTCTCTGCTTCCTAATTGTCATGTCCTGAGCTTGCTCTCCTCCTCCACACCCTTCTGCCATGATGTGCTGCCTCACCTTGGGCCCAGAGCAATGGAGTCAGCTGTCTATGGACTGAGACCTCTGAGTCCCCCCAAATGCGTCCCCTCCTCTATGTTGCTCTTGTCAATCTTTTAGTCATATCATAAAAAATTAAAAATTAAAAAAAAAACACTGACTAAAACACTTTAATCTTGGCACTGAGTGAAAGGAAAATATATATATATCACCTAAGGATTTGTTATAAAAAAAAAAAAGGTCTCAAATAATTTAAATCTGGCTTTGAAAAAAAAAAACTACAAACATTGAATTTAATTTAAATGGTCTTGGGTTGGCAGTGTTCTTGATTAACTGACAAAATTAAAAGTAAATCCTTTTATGTACCTCAACTTCAACCCAGACCTCAAAGAAACTCCCGCAGGTAAAACTTAAAGGAAAAATAAACAGCTCACATTAAAAATTTACAAAGCACAGACGAAACAAGCATTATTATTGACAATCAAAAACAAACAAAAAACAGACAACAGAAGCAACCCATCAAATATTTCTGATGTTAGAACTTGCATGTATGGATTAAAATGCAATTATGTTTGTTATGTTAAATACATAAAATAGAAGCTTAAAAACAAAGGGTAGGAACAAGAGACCTTGCACAATCAGGCAGGTTTAAAAAAATAGCAGAATCGACCTCCTGAAAATGAGAAACAAAACACTGGAAATAATATTCAATGGATACACTACACATTAGATTAGATGCAGGTGAAGAGAGAATTGGTCAATTGGAAGACAGATATCCAAATTTATCCAGAATGGAGTTCTGAGAGATAAAAAGGTATAAATTCTAAAACAGAAGTTAAAAGATACAGAAGATAAAATGATTTGAGACTACTACATATCTAACTTAGACTTCTGTCTGTAGAGAGAATAGGGGAGTGCAATTATTTAGAGTTAAATGCCCATAATTTCCCAGAATTACTAAAAAAAAAACCAAAAATCCAAAGTCTAAGAAGCCTAAGACTTGAGAGACAGAAAGGGAGAGAAAGAGAAAGGATACTAGAAGCAGCCAGAGAAAAAAGGCAGATACCCTGCAAAGAGACAAATAGAGCATCTGTGAATAGCAACCATGGAAGCTGGAAACAGTGAGAAAAGCATCTGTAGGAGAAAACAATTGTTGTGAACCTAAAATAGAAACTCAGTTTCAAGAATGAAGGTGGATAAGGGCAGGTTCAAATGAAAAGCATCCACTCTCTCTGCAGGAAATTCGGAGCAATTCTCCAGGGAGAAGGGAAGGGATCCCTCTCTGAAAGTCTGAGATGCAAGAAGATCCGTAAGTGAAGATTGGGGGCATCAAAACCAAGGTGACAAAATATGATGAAAAATTTTATGCTGGTAAATTTGAAAACTCAGGTAAAGACATTTCTAAGAAAGTAATACTTAACACATATGCAAGTAGAAAAAAAAAGTCCAAATAGCCTTTATATGTAAAAGTAAATGAATTAGTAGTTTGAAATCTTCTGACTAGGAAAAATACAGGGCCCAGCCAGTGTTTTAGGTATTAGAACGAACCTTCAAGTAAAAATATTATTAAAAATATTAAAAATACTAGAATAGGATAGGAAAAAAAAAGAGCATTTCCTAATACTGGTGAAACATACAACCATAAAATTCTAGAGAAAGTACTGGAGCACATCCTCAAGATCTTAAGAAGGTGATTTTTAAAATAAGATATCAAATGTGTTTTGTTAAAATGGAAAAAGTCACTGAAAATTCACCTACTTTAAAATGGAGAATTTAGACCAGTATAATCACTATGGGAAATACTTTGGTATTACTCAATAAATTTAAGTGTGCATATATTCCATGGACCGAAATCTTGTCTCTCTCTCTCTCTCTCTCTCTCTCTCTCTCTCT